TTTTTTTTTCCAATCATCTTATTGCCTTCCATAACTGAACAAATCTTGCTATGTATTCTTTCTATAACTAGTGTTTCCTGCTTAACATTTTTTATCCTGTTCAATACACTAAAGCCTAATAACAGGGTTGAGAAATCTTCAGTGCCAAGAGAATTCGTAGGTTGGATGTAATTATTCTGAATGGGGAGAAGGATTTTTACAACCCAATTTACTTTGGGAATAAATCATTTCAAGGAATAAAGTACACACATTAGTATTAGCTGCCTGATGTTAGGCAATCAAATAGGTGAAATGTTATTGCCTACTTAGCTCCATCAGCAATGTGCATGCATCGAAGCCTAAAGTCTTGGTGGATACCACTCAGATTGGTTTTATTAATGAAGTCAGTGCAACAAAATTTTATATGTAGTCTACTGTGAGTTTTTTTTTTTTTTTTTGTAAGTAACACGAGCTGTTCTTAATCTTAAAACAAAGCAGGGCCAACAGCCTCACAGCGTTTCTTTGTTTTTCTTTTCAGTGATGTTTTGGCACTGCCTATTTTCAAACAGGAAGATTCCAGCCTTCCACCAGAAGATGAGCCTAAACATCCACCCTTTCAGTATGTGATGTGCGCTGCAACATCTCCAGCAGTAAAATTACATGATGAAACTCTTACATACTTGAACCAAGGTTGGTATTTATGTATAGCAGGCACAACGGTAGTACATGCAGCTCACTCAATATCAGGATAATTAAGTGGTAGTAATAACAGATAAGTGGTGATCTCTTCAAGACAACTTCTGGGAATTTGAAGAAAGAAAATACTAGTTGAAGGGAGAGGGTGGGTATTGAATTATTTATCAGTATTTCTCAGGCTTTGGATTTTCAGATTTTTTTTTTGTTTTGGAGAAATAAATAAAAATACATTTCTTAAATATCCTGATGTATTCAAGACCTAGAAGAGCATTATGCTGCAGCTTTAAAAGTAGAATTATTTCATGTTTTGATGCTTGTAGATATACCCAGGGTAAATACATTTTTTTTTAAATGAGATTGGATATCTTACTAGTAATTTTACTTTGTTCACCTGTCAGGTTTGCAGGTATAGTCTCTTGTTGCCTCCCATTCTCCTCTTTGTAGTCTGTTTTCTTTTTTTTCTAATCTTCTTTCCCCCAGTCCCTGGTCAAAGAAGCAGACAGAGCATATTTTCTAAGCATACAAAAGTGTTTCAAGCCTAAGAAGGAGAATGCAGCAGCTTCAGATAGTAATGACTCCTTACAGTATAAGGCTTACTTTATATTCTTGTTTAAACTTGATTGATAATAGGAAGTTATTTGGACAGTATTTGCATAAAGTGTTTTTTGGGGATGCTTGTGAACTACAGAAAAGTACAAAAACTTGACATGTCAATGTTTAGCCAAAAAGTTTGTGTCTCAGCTTAGACCGCTGTAATGCGACACTCTGAAGCTATAGTTACAGACCGATCTCGTATTTGAAATGTAAACATGAGTGCAGCTGCCTTTGCGGTCACTGTGTATTTCACTTTTGTGTCTCTGTTGCTGAAAGTCACCCAGATCTCTATCTCATGCGAATCGCTCTATTTTTGCTTATAGCCTGTGGTTGGCTGGCATGAGAATATCATTTCCTTCCAGCCCCGCCCCCTGCGCTCACATGGGGCTGTAGCTGCTTAGTAAAATAATCTGAAGGTTGCCATTACTGCACTGTGCAACTCCCCGAGGCTCTGGAAATGTCACTGGTATCTTTAAGTGTAGGCAGCTAAGATTCTGAGCTCAAATCAAAAGCACTGCTGCGTCTCATGCTTTTTTGTTCCATGTTGATTTCCTTTCTGTAAGTTTATTTGTTCAGGCTTCCAGGCTTTAGCATTCTTAAGATCAGATCACTGTTCCTTTTTTTTTTTTTTTTCCTTCTTCTTTGTTTTTGTCTTGTGGATGTGGACCCAAAATCTCTCAGCAGAGATGCCCCAGTTCTGATGAAATTAAAAATAAACAATTTTGGCAGTCAAGTCCAATTAAAAAAAATGCATGTTTCTTCTTAACAGGTTAAAATAGTTATTGACAGTTCTTTTTTTCTTTTTTTCCTTGATTTGTGAGCTATTTAACATAGTCAATTGCTTGGTTTATAGAGTGGATACATATATATTTTGTATGTGTATTGTGTTGATAACCCTTTCTGCTCAAGTTGGAAATGCTTTTGGTAGTATGAGCTCGTGCTGATGACTTTCTAGCACTTGGAAGTGTTTAACCACGTGCTGAATGCTAGCATATGTGTCAGGACTTTGCAACTAATTTAATATTGCTATGATGACAAAGAGTCATTTTTAGTTTTCTGTGTGAATAGGGTCACTGAGTGCTTCATCTTGTTGCATCCAGTCTTGTTAAGTACACCTTAAACATTTTTAGACTCTTCTATTGATAAGACTAATGTGGATTCTTTAGGTGATTATTAGTGTCTCGCAGAATTCAGCTATCAGATTGGGTCAGGTTTCCTATATTTTTATCACTTTTTAGACCCTGTGTTCTGTAGGCAGGAGAGAAAGTACAATTGCAGCAGAATACTAGCCCAGCAACATGCTTTGCACTGTCTTTACAACTTTAAACTCTGCAGAAATATACTTTGTTTTCTTAAGTGTCAGGGTCCAGCCTCCCTAACCAAGCACAAAGCTTGAAGCTTTTGCACAGTGTGCTGGGGAAGCAGCACAAATCTGCCAACTCAAGGAGAAATGTGCTTGTTATCGGGAGTCTGAGCCTGCTTTTTGAGTAGCACTGTATGAAATGATTGTAATTGTTTCATCTGGCCTTGAAGCTCTTTTTCATAGTAATTTGTATTATCAGATTTGTTTTTCAATATTATTTTGCTTTTTTTACCACTATACTCTGTAACTTTTCCTGACACCAAAAAAGAGCATATACTTATACCATTTTTCCAAATGAATATGAAAACAACTGGCCAATTTCCCTTTTATTTTAAAGCTTGAGACAGAAAGATAGTATATTTGCTATCTAGGTTAAGGCATTTTCCCACTAGTTTTTCCATTAACTGTTAGTACACCCCCTGTCTGCATTCACATATTTTTATCATATAATATCATTGTAATAAAGCTGGCTTAAAATAGGTGTAAAAATAATTCCTGTTCTCGTTGTTAGTGTTGTAGTTTTAACTCTGATGTGCTAATTCACAGAGTTATCTGTGCTGCTAGAGGTGCAATGGCTTAAACAGTGGGAGATCCAAGAAAGTAGAGAAACTAGCACATAGACAGCACTCAGGATATCGTCTGATTAAAAGCAGTGCTGTAGCACTTGCATGCTTTGCAAGAAAGTCATTTTGCCAGAAGGTTCAAGATTAGAGAGTAGAGGGTAGCTCTCCAGGCTGTTTTTGTGCTTTTAGTTAGTCTGGTAGTCCTGATTTTTGTCTTCATCGCATCCTCATTTTTAATGCCTTATGGTACCTATAAAAGGTTAATAACACTCACTGAGCAAATAGTCAGGAAGGTGATGTTTGTTTGCTTGTTTTTCTTTTTTCCCCCTTTCAAAATATCAGAAAAATGGAATAGAAATATTTGCGAAAGTTTTATTGTTAGGACTAGTGTAAAACAGATACAGATAAATCAGACTCTAGAAGGTTTGTTTTAACAATGAATATGTGCTGTCCAACATGCAGAAAAAAATACTGTAATTCAAATAAATTATATCTAGTTTTCTCACTATTGAAAGAAAAGAGTTAACCAAATTCCTTGGGGGAAGAAAACAAATTTACTATTGCCTATGAAAAATAAAATGGTAAGTAGCTTTCTTGAAGTCTCATTTCTGAGATCAGAGCCTAGAAATCATACAATGCCAGCAGACACTTGAGCAAAATTGTATAGGGGAGAGTAATACAAATTGTTGGTATGAATTTATAAGAACTCATTGCAGTCAGCATTGTTTCATAGGACCAGTCTCTGGTTCATCATGTGTTGCCTTTCATTAGTTTCAAAAATAAAGGAAATCAGCTTTTATAGTGATTTTTTTTTTCCAGGAATAATTAGCTAGAGAAAACAAGTAGTCATCCTGATGTATAGTAGAATACTTAAATTTTCTGAGTATCTGTAGTTTTAAAAGGGGTCAATATGTTTTGCTTCATTGTTGTGCAGATTCCTGTGCTGTGATGTGATAAAATTTTAAACAGAAGTTTCAGGTACTGCTGTTCGTGTGTGTCGCATATAAACCGAAAGCTAATTTGAGTGTGTTGAACATCAGATGGTTTTGTGCTTTGACTGTTCTGTTGATACAATCCTTTTTCTCTTCAAAGGGCAGTCCTATGAAATACGGATGCTAGATAACCGGAAAGCGGGAGACATACCGGAGATCAATGGAAAACTGGTGAAGGTGACCTGAAGTTCCTTAGATAATGTTACTAACAAACCTCTGTTGCTTGCAGATGAAAAGAGTAGTTTTGAACCTCTCCTTGTACTCTTGATTCATGGAGGCAGATGGGAAGTGACTAGCAGCTCTGACCAGTAAAGAAAATGGGCACAGTGGAACCTAATGCTTAGTTTTGTTGTTTCATTTCAGGTTTACTACCAATTAAAAGAATGTACATGTATACATGTCCCCATTTATGAATGGGTTCGTTTCATGTACATTCAGATAACTGAAGGTGAGATAATCACTTCGTGTACCATTTATGAGGTCGATAGTCTGTTCTGTTTTAGGATGAGATGAATCTCCTGAACATGCCCATTTTTTTCTGCTCAGTAACTTGACCTCAAGTTACTAGAGTTAGGTGGGATAAATCCAATCCAGACACTGTACATGTTGTTAATGTTTTTTTCTGTTGTCATTGGATACTTGTTCAGAACGACTGTTGATCAATGGAATATAAAATAAGGATGTATCTGGCTATGAGTATCCAAGAGAACACTCTCTTGTATATGTGTATAAAATGGTTATTTCATGCGCAGCTTAATATATCTCGTTTACTAAAGGCTTTTTTCCAGCCAGTTTTGAGCCATTTTTTCCCTTTTCCAAGGGATTAGGAGATGTGGAAGGAAGCTAGAGATTAATTTAGGAAGAAGTGGAGGTGCTGTGAGCACGTTTTTAACAGATGCCACAGAAGACACATGGAAACAATCTGTGATTTTTGCAGAAGTGGAATACTGCACATAGAAGACATGTCCATAGGAAAGCAGACCTGTCTAATTCTGCTGCCGAGGAACAGATTGTTCCATAACGGAAGTCCTGTTCCTAATTGCAGATTTATCTCCTTATTTTTTAACATTAGCAGTGGGTTCTGTGAGTCTGAGGTACTGCACTCAGTGTAAGAGTGAGGCAAACTGATAAACATTTACTTCAGTGGATAAATAATTAGAAGACTTGCTAATGGAGAAAAAAATACCTTTTTTTCTTAAATATATGAACATTTTATCAAATTTTCAGAAGAAATATTACTCATATTTTATACTGATGAAGAAGGAAAACACTTTTAATTAAAGCTACTATTCCATTCATGCTGAAGAGTACATTCAGAATGTTGTGCCTGTGGGAGACTGAGTCTGCACATGTCAACACGCGATAAGCGCAGTTATACAATCTGATTGACTGTTGTAGTCCAGTGTCTTTTTTTATATCTACTGGATGCACATTCAGAGATTATTTCTTGAAATACTAAATGCACGTATAAAAGCAGCGTTCTGAGCTCTACAGTTAAACCTGGCCTGCTGACTTGCTGCTGTGGTAAATGTGTTGTTACTTTGCCCTTTCACAGCTTTGAGGAGTCTCTTTGCTCTGTTCTTCCTGGTTCACCTATTAGTGATGAGCCAGGTGGTAGGCAGATGAGGACAAGCATTGTAAAAGTTGGGGGTGGCGGGGGGGAAGTAAATTTTAGTGCAGCCAGGCATGGTAGTGTAGCATCAAGAATCTTTCCATTTCAGGCAGGTAAAACTCTAATCCCAGTAATTTAAGAAGTTTCTTTTCATGTTGGAAGTGTCTGCAGATACTTCATGCTGCAAACGCGATAAGCTGTTTGCAGTGGAAAAGGTGCAGAGGGTGGGTATGTGGTAAAGAGCAAGGGCTTCAAGAACTTTAGAAGTTCTTAGAAATAACTTTAAACAACTTAAAATAACTTAGACAACTTTAAATAACTTAGAAATAAAAACGAGAACACATAATCCATCTTGAACAGGCATTTCATTTAAAAGTTGTGGGGTTCTTTTGAATATTTCTACCACTGTTATTACAAGGAGAGCTGCAGACTAATGAGAAGAAATAAGATATTGAATTCTTTTGTCTACATTTTTTTCATCCAGTAGCAATTTGTCTATTTTTGTTTTGTCCTCTCTATAATAATTTGCTTTGTATGTGCATTTATAGCAGGATAAAAACATTTATTTCTCATAGCTCTCAGACCCCTGTTTCAGCTGAACTGGTCACAGGCATGGGGGTGGTTGCATAATTGATGCTAGCTGAGAAGTGAATGATGTCCTTGCATTTTAGATGATTGTTTCAGCTACCATAGTTGGGACATGGTGCAAGCTACTTATTACTTCTTACTATTAATCAAAACAGTATGTTTGTTGTAAATAAATTTACTAGGAAGGAATTTTCTGTGGATTTTATTCCTTAGAACAGTTTACAATAATTCACAAAATTTCTAATGGAAAAAAATGCCAAAATATCTTTCCTGTCTTTCTGAATAAATGGAGTCTTTTGTGTTTGTTTTCTAAAATGAGTCTTCTTTGCCTATGCAGTCTTGGTACTGCGCAGTCAGTCTTGCTGTGTTCACTGCAGTTCATTTATTAGGTCTTTAGAATATTCAATAAGACATAATTTCCTTTTGCCTTTTTACCATGTTTTCAAGCATCTCCTGCTGTTCAGTTCTAGTTCTGTGTTTTAGAATGTTTTGGGGTGACGCTGATTGCTAAGCTCTTCCCTGTAAATATGTTTTTATTAGCCGTATGGCTATTTTGGAATGTTTTAGTGCTTTATCACCAGCCTTTTTCTTCCCATGTAGTAACTTCCTGGCTCATTTCTTGCTTGTTTCCTCCTTTTTTAGAGTATTATAAGAGTTGTGTTCCATGACAGAAGGTTGCAATATACAGAGCACCAGCAACTAGAAGGTTGGAAGTGGAACCGCCCTGGGGACAGGCTTCTTGACTTAGGTATAATTGTGTCTGGTGGGCATTATATAAAATTGAGGTTCCAGGTTTAAATAGCTGATGGTCCCCTTGGTGCTAGGGGATGCTGATAGCAAAACCACCAAACAGTTTCTGTGTGCCTCCTTGTGGGTAGTTGGTGGGTTTTTCAGATACAAATGTTACTGTTTTCAGATCCCTGTGAAATCTCTAGTTAAGCGCTGCAGAAATAAAGTAGCAGTGTGCGGACTAATATTCATTTGAATTTTGATTACTGAATGTTATAGTAATTAAGAGAACACTGAGTAACATTTGCACCAAAATGGTTTCTTTATTTTGCATGACTATCATTTTTGTGTATGTAAACGGGGGGAGATAAGGGAAGAGAAAAAAGAAAAAGAAAAAAAAATTTGTATGTTGAATACACTTCAGAGTAGTCCTGGGAAATGTTGTATGGGTTTTAACTTGCTTATTGTTAATAAAATATTGGTGGCTTATTAAACGCCCAAAGCCCAGCTTTTCTCTGCTTGCCTGTGTTTGCTGGTGGTAACCTTTAATTTCTTGGATTTTCTTGGGATATTGCTATTTTAAAACATGTACTACTTATTTTTATGTAGATATTCCAATGTCTGTTGGTGTCATTGATATCAAGACAAATCCAAGCCAGCTCAATGCAGTTGAATTTTTGTGGGATCCAACAAAATGTACATCTGCTTTTATTCAGGTTTGAAACTTTACTTGTCTGGGTGCCTGTGTTTTTGGTCTCTTTCAGGTCATGAACACTCTGTAAGAAACACAGAACTGTAACAACTGGTATTTCTGCAGGGATTCCCAGTTAGCTTTTCATCTTGATTTGAGTAAATAAAGGCAGCTTTCAAAAACAATCTAAATGAAAAGTTTTTAAAATGACATTTTTAAGAGCTGTAGTGATTAAAATACATAGTCATACTGAGAATTAGAATTAATATATTCTCCCAAATAACTGTCACTGTTCCATTATTTCACTTAGGACTTCCTCTCCTAATGGTGTTTCAGCTCGGCGTCGAGTAGGCCAAGTGGATCTTAATGTGCTACGAAGAGTGTTTTTGAATAGTTTTTTTCAAGGAAGATTCTATTTCACTTTTGCTTATCGTAGGGTTGTTTTGTTTTGTTATATCCAGGACACTTTAGCATGTTTTCTTTGGAAATTATCTAGATATTACTCTTAGCTTGGCATTGGATTTTTTTTTTACTCAAATCTTTTGTCTTCATTAAAAGTAGCAGTATTTCATACTCAGGTTGCCAGAATAGGTTAATATCCAGGTTTTCAAATATTTAGTGCAAAAAAAAAAAGACATTTTTGTACCTATAATTACACAATTACTGAAATTTAGCCTTGCTTGAAGAAGCATGAGATGAACCATTGAATATTTTTAATACATTTTAGAGGAAGTGATAACAGACTTTCTGAAAATGGGGCTGATAGGTGAATTACACTTGCATAACAGCTATTCCAAAGGCTAGGGAACGCAGCATAGCAGCAGTAATTGCATGTAAAGCTTCGAATCCCAATCCATGGTTCTCTGCTGTTGCTTCGAGCCACAGAAAATAAAAAGATAATACTGTTGTCTTAGGGAGTGTGAAGTTTGCTGGTGTCCATGGTACATAGCTGACTTGATATTCCGGAAGCAAGCAAAAGCTGGGAACACTCTCCAGTGAAATTCGTTCAAATTCTGTTACACTTCTTCTATTAGGGATCTTTTAGGGGTATTTTTAGCTTATAAACCCAAAGTCTTTAGGCTGAGGTAGTGCTTTCAAAGAGTTTTTTTTAAAAAAACAACAACAACAACAACAAAACAAACAAACAAAAACCCAACCAAGCAACAACAACAAAAAAAGGGACTTAATTGCATTAAGAAAGCATGTAATTAGTACTAATGTCCACTGACTTTTATAGAGAATTAGGCATTAAACATATTTGTAAACAATCTGCTCAGCCAGAAGTTAAAAACTCTAGTCAGAGACCTTGTATTATTTTGGTAGTATTCATTACAATTAATTTTCAAATTTATTTTAGCTATAATGCGTTGAACAATAGTCGTTTTAAGTATTTTCTTGCTAGATACTGTTGTCATCCACATGTATTTACTGTAAGGCCCAGCATGAGAGCTTTCACATGAGGTTCTCATTTAATGACTATCTATAATGACTTCAGGTTTTTGGAGACATTGTATTTGTTTTGGTGGACACGTGTGGGTCTGTGTGGACAGAAGGAAAATGAAGCATTCATTTGTTATACAACTTTGTCCTTGTACAGGCTTAGATGATTTGTTACTTCCCTTCAGGGAATATGTGTAATCATAGTAACATGTGCTTAAGTGTATGTCTAGAATACTTCTAAGTGCGTTTTTTGCATATTTTGTGTAGGTACATTGTATCAGCACTGAATTTACCCCTCGTAAACATGGGGGAGAGAAAGGAGTTCCATTTCGGATTCAAGTTGACACTTTTAAGCAGACTGAAAATGGAGACTATACAGATCATCTGCATTCAGCCAGCTGTCAAATCAAAGTTTTTAAGGTAACAGTAGGAAAAAACTCATAAATCCCTCAAAATCTCCTATAAAATTGGGAGGCATCTTTATGTTACTGCTTGACTTTTGAGATTAGATTTTGATTACAAAGTTATTTTCTGTCTGCATTTTTGTTCATATCCCGGTTTATTTTTAGCCAAAAGGAGCAGACAGGAAACAGAAGACGGACAGAGAAAAGATGGAAAAAAGAACTGCACATGAAAAAGAAAAGTATCAGCCTTCATATGACACCACAGTTCTCACAGAGGTAACAAAATAGGATTGCATCTATTAACTGGGAAAAAAATATTGAGATACAACATATTTTAGCTACAGATTTGGAAGGGTTGGGGGAGAATTGGAGGTCTATGCGAGGGTAGGCTGTTTATTTAAGACATATGTCCAATAAAAGCAACATTAAATGTTAAGATTCTGTTTAGTAAACTTCATTTAGATACTCAGTAGATACTAGCATTAAAACGCGCTGAGGTTGAACAGTATTTGATTTACTGTACTTATGGTACAGATCTAAAAACCTTACCGATTAAAAGCCAAAAAAAAAAAAAAAGAGGAGGGGGGAATCTAGAATTATCTGCCAAATTTGAACTCCAATCTGTATGTTTGGATGCATTGAATTTAAGGCCAGAGCCTCAGTAGATTTTTACATTTTCCCTTTATTTAAACATCAGTGAGTTCTGTAAAGTTTTCTAAAGATTTCAAGTTTTTAAAAGGCTTTTAGATCTTTCCTCACTGTATAATGAAAAGAAATTGATCCACATCTTTGGTGTTTGTCCAGATGAGGCTTGAGCCTATAATTGAAGATGCAGTTGAACATGAGCAGAAAAAGTCCAGCAAGCGGACTTTGCCAGCAGACTACGGTGATTCTCTGGCAAAGCGAGGCAGTGTAAGGGACTTCTGCTTACCTTTTCATTGTGCAAGATTCCTTGTGCAGTGTTAGATATAGGAGAAACTTCCGTGATGCATATATATAAAGCAAAACCATTTTGATTGTTGTGGTTTAATTTTATTCGTGTCTCTGTACACCAATTACTCCATGCTTGTGCGTAGCAAAGGAATGCTTCCTAAATCTAACACGTAAGATAAATTGTTGCAGAGGGAATGTTTTAACTTTTCAAGGTTAAGGGTGTTCACTTTATGTGAGTTTAAATGAAACAGCTTTTGCTTTCCTTTATGTATGTGACTAGTGGAAAGAGGAACAACAACGTTTGCTAGAAGTTTTAGTAGAAGATTTGTCCCATCTTTACTTCTACTTAGGTTCAGTGTAACTTTCTATGTTCATCAGTACTTTAAAAATTCCACAAACTGTTGCAGATAGTTGTTTATGAGCTCCTGTTTTTCGTTCCACCATCCATCTCCTGTGCTGCAGGCAGCTTCAACACACTGAGCACACCCTGCAGCCTGGGGTGCCAACCCTGCGTGGCCCCTCAGGTGAATCTCACTGATACCCTGTACGCTTCTCCTCTGAGGGCCAGATTACCACAACGCTGTTTAAGGTGTCTGTCAAAGTCTTAGCGTTTTTAAGATAAGAAATAATCCTGCCTCTTCCACTTGGCTTGTTGAAATGTCTGTTAATAGTCTGTTTTGTTGAAAATAATTGTTTAGCTTTGTTGTTCGAATGGGCATGTTGTGTTTGCAGTTGTTTACAGCAGCGCTTTGGCAGTGCCTGCCTTACTCTTGGCCCTAGGACATAGTTTCATTTGTATTTGTGATCTGCTAATTGACATGCAGGGTTTAGGAAATAAAATTCTTAAATATCTGCCTTTCCCTTGTTCATGAAGCATGTAATGGAGGGAGGGGGTGAGAGGGAAGCAAGCAAGAGAGGGGGTTAAGTAGGATGTAAGAAATTCCTTCTGAGGAATTCCTTTTCCTCCCTGAAAGTAAGCACTGGGCTATCTGAATTTGCTGTTTAAAAATCTGTATGCGTGTGGTGGTGGTGGTGGGTTTTTGTTTGTTTGTTCGTTTTTCCACAAATCCTTTATGTCTTTTATTTCTGTACTGGGTAGATCTATAGCTCTATGGGGAGTTAAAAGAAGGCAAAATGGGATTTCACCACTAGCATAGCATCACCTTTCTAATATTTGAAGAGATATTAGGAAATGAAGGATTTTTACCTTTTCCTCCCATCCCTTTCTATTATTGCATGTGCTAAAGAGAATGATTCTAGCTTTAAGACAGATGTAATAAATCCCTTGCCAGAATAAGACAAACTATAGTTAAATAATACCTGAAATTTGTCTGACCTGTTCATAAAATTCTCCAAAAATGGAAACTCAGCAATGTCTGTAGAAAGCTCCTGAAATGCTGAACTATGAAGGAGAGCATTAATTTAGCTGTAGTGAAGAAAAGTTGCGTATCAGCAGGTAGAAGCAGACTTCTGATGTGTAAAGGATAACATGAGGGTTGTTTCTTCACTGCTTGCTCCTTACAGAACATTCTTGGCTTCCTCAAGGCTTTGCTTCGGTTAAGCTGTTAACATCCCGACTGTCTCAGGTTTTGCTTTGTGCAGACAATGTTCTCCATGTATGACCGTGCTTGGTGGCTCTCCTCCGAGCTCTGCGTGGCGCTCCATGTCCCTCTTGGTGTGTGGTGTTTCCAGCAGCTCCACGGGAGCACGCGCTGCCCGCCCGGCTCACCCTGCTGCTGCCTCTGCAGCGCTGCCACCCCTGCCCTGCAGCCGGGCTGCCCCCTCCGCCCCTGCTCTGCTTGGGTAGCTCGCTGCTCCACCTTTGCCTTAGCAAAATCCTCTCTTCGGATTATTTTTTTCCATTTGTCAAAATACTTTTGAGTTTTAGTCCTGTTTTATGAAGTGCTCTCAGTCTTTCTAATTTGGTATCATCAGATTTAACCTGTGGTATATTCCAACACCATTTTTGTTTTTTTTCCAACACCAACGACGATTTTTGTCATTAGCAAAAATAGTAAAAAACCCCCGAAAGATCCGATGAAAGACTGTTTTTGCTGTGCTCACAGTGCAACCTTGGTAATCATTATACACTGATTACTATTTCCAAGCAAGCTGTGTACTCCCAGTTTGATCCAGGACAAGAATGTGTCTCTGCAGTGGGATGGCCCAACTCATCAGGCTCGTCCCATGCTCTTGTCCTCAGGCCTGCATTTGGGGACCCTGTGGAGGGGACAGGGGCCGCACTGCAGGCTGGATCAGTGTCTCTCCCAAGGGCAGTTCCATCTTTGGAGAGCATCCTCCGAGGCGGTGAATCAGGAGATGTGGGTTGGTGTCCCGGCCTTGCCTCGGAAGCGCAGCTCCAAGGGAGGCGCCTGCCATCAGTCAGGCCCTGGAAGCAAAAACTGAAGTCAAGTTTCCTTAGCTCATGTGTAAGGATCGACGCCGTTTTACATATTATATTGTTATATATTATTTTCAGGAATTCCAGAAACATAATTTGAGCCAATCTCTAGTCTGCTTCCTTTTTTCAAGCTGCTGTTATCTTCCTCCCATACCTAACCTGGCCACCTGATTTTATATATTGGATTTCTTTTTTTTTGCCCTATAAGCTCTTGCCAGGTTGGTAGATGTTGCTGGCATTTCTTCTTCTTTTTTTTTTTTTTTTTTTCCTTATGTTTTCTTCCAGCTCACTTACAATCCCATTTGGTCAAATTGGTCTCTTGCAGGGGTTCCTTCAGAAAAAATTGAATCTATTATCTTTTCTTTCCAATTGAATTCTTGTGGAATTCTAACATAGATGAAGGAGCTTGTTTTCTCAAAGGTCATTCTGTTCTTCTCCTATCCTTTCCTAAGAATGAGTATTTATTTACTTTGCCATCTTTACCTTCTCATTCATTTTGGTATGGATGCCACGTAGAAAAGCCTTTCCATTATTCCTTCACCTCATGTTTCAAAATTTGATGCATTCCCCAAAACTTTCTGCAGTTTTTATCTCAGTATTTTCCTTACAGATGCATAGTTAAATTTAGTGTCTTGTGATGTGGAGATTTGACCTTTTAATAGCGGTGTTAGGCTACAAAATTAGTGCTATGCTTGGACCTCACAGCTGATGTTTACATACAGATGGCCTTCTTACAGGGACAATCTTAGGAAAGAGGCAACATTTTTAAAGTTTCTTTCAGATTTAGAGAAACTAGAGCTTTTCTCAGGGAATTCATCTTTGCAAAAGTAGATGAATTTGTATCACGATAGTGGTCTCTGCAGATTTTTTTTTTTTTTTTTTTTTTTTTTTTTTGTATCCCATAGTTGGTTGGCTGGTGTGTTAGTCTTCCCATTTATACCCTCTGTCACAAACCAGAATATGCAAAGTACAATTCGATTAAATTTGATCAAATGGGCACATTTTTTTTGCAGCTACGGTTGATTAAAAGAGTGTTCAGAATAATAAACTCAGATACTTTCTTCTTTATCCTGATCAGATACTTTGTTCCTTGGCGCAAGAACTCTGTATTTTCTAATTTTTTGACTAAGTTGAGTGTTGTACGGTGAAGCTGATGACCTGCTCTCTAAGGATGATGTGTTTTTTTAGTCTTGATTTGATATTTGAGGACAGTGTCAAGTTCTTCAGCAAAGGTTAACGCTGCCCTCCTGTAACGCATGGTCCTGGGTAGAGCTGAGCGTTAGTAGTGTCCGGAGGTCCCTCTTCGGAGCTCAGAAGTGACCATGTGTGAGTGCTCCGGTGTGTCCCCAGCTCCGTGCAGGCAAAGGTGGGATTCCTGTCGTCTTCCTGCTCCCTGCTGACTCCGGACGCAGCAGGGACTCGCTGCCTCGCAGCGCTGCTCTGCTCCTCAAGCTTCTGATGAGCTTGTGTGCCAGTGTCCCCAGCCTGCTCTGCTCAGTGTCCTCGCCGACCTCGCTGTGGGCTTGGAAATGTGGGAAATACCCCAGGATCAGTCTGGAGATGAGTGCGGTGCCGGGCGGGCGCCCGCGGGGGGAATACGGGCACCGTGAGGGGCACGGGTGAGTGCGGCCCCTCTCCCTGGTGTCCCCACGCACCCGCACGGCCCCTCCTGCCTGCTAGAGGGGCCTTACCCAGGGCTGCTCTGAGCCCCTCGGTGACCCCTGGTACCCGTGGCCGCTCCGAACGCGCCAGGACAGCAGCCTGCCTGCTCGGGGTGCTCCCGGAAGATGCGTTGTAGCAACTGTTCTGAGCCCTTCTTTGGAGCTGGGCCCGCTCCGTCCCTCCGAGCTCTCCGAATTCAGCATCTGGGTGCTAAAATACCCATCTGGGTGCTAAATTTTTTTTTTCCTTGCCAAAATCTACTGATCTGTTACATAAAAGGAGAGAGAATAGAGCCAGTGTACATGCTGCCATATTCACCTATAATTTCATTACGTCATACTAAAAGGTGTTTTTATTAAGCTTTATGGAGAGAATCTCAGATAATTAATTTCACTTTTAAAATAATTTAGAAGAACAGAACTAGCATTATTGCGTTGAGCTTTTGTTTTAAAACTAAGGGTATGTGTCACCTTTGCAAAATAAAATTTTTGCAGAATAAAACAAGAAGAAGAGCTGGTGACACTGGGAGGTCGTAGCAGAGCCCCCTTTGAGGAATGGCACTGTGGGCAGTTCAGGGGACTTGCACTGCGTAACTGAGGGTCGCGCGCGTGCAGCCATCGGCAAAGCTGCTGGCGCCAGCAGAGCCAGGGGCAGGTTCTTCCTGGTCGTTTGTCTCTGAACATACCCAGCTTGGGGTTTGGTGGCAGCCTCTTGGTTTGTTTCTTCGTTTCCTTTAAAGTATTTGCAATGGCATTGGAAATACTAACAGCCAGTGTCATGGGCTTTTATTGTGATGATGATTTTAGAAATGCAAAAAAGCTGACTCGTATATACCTATTGAATCCTGTGAGGATTCAAATGTGGATCTGAGAATTTCATTAAGCAGCTTAGAGAAAGCAATACACGTGCCATCATTTTAGTCCTGCATGAATGATAAAATAAGAAAATTTATACTGCACAATGTGTTTATATTTTGATACAGTTGCTGCCAGGGCAGCTATACTACATTTGTCAGCAATTTGAAATCTAGTTTCCCAGTTTTGTCTTTCTGTTGCTGAATACCTGTTGTCAGTCGTGATACCCATGATTTAAACGGCCTTTTCATGTAAGGATGAAGGAAGTTTTTCAGCTGGTGGCTTGTGGGGTTTTTGTTTGTTTTTTATTTGACTGAGTAATCTATACAGATTTTCCCTAAGTTTCATGACTTCCATCTTCATTGTGTTAACTGAAGACAATGAGGATAGGTTTTTGAAGGAACAAAATAAAAACACAATTGATTTACTTAGAATACCTGCATGGAACATGTGGGATGGAGGGAATCTTGATTTGGAATCACAAATCAAAATTTCATGTAGGAAAAAAAAATGTTTGAGCAAAAGACCTATACAACAAAGTAAAAAGTATTTTTAAGGGGAACTTACAATTTTATTTTTTTATCTTCAGTGCTCACCATGGCCTGATACTCCTACAACTTTTGTAAACAACAGTCCTACTCCTGCTCCAACTTTTACCTCTGCCAGTACCTACAGTGTCCCAGACAGGTGAGTTTCTTTTCTGTAGCACAATTTAAGATAATGTTTTAAAGCCCAGCTTACTCAAAGTACTCTTTAAATCTGGAAGTTTGCAACTGTTCTCCCTGTCTCTGGGGGAATGAGAGCTAGATTAATGTCTTGACTCGCATATTTATTTTAGAGTTTGACCGTTGTATGAAGTGATTTCAATTATATAACAACTTCCTTAGCCTCCAAATGCCATTTTTCTTTCTCACTATTCACTACTGGAAACTTTTCCTCTTGTCCTTTGATGTACAGCAGATGCCCTGTCTTTCGTGTATTTATTCTAATTTAGTTCTTACAAGTGTATAAAACTACATTGCCTCTTCCAGCAAACAATCTCCACGCCCCTCATTTATGCTGTTAATGTAATTCATAACAAAAAAAAGAAAGAACAGAAAAATATTCAGAAGCTCTATAACAGAAATTGTACTGGTGAAAATGTTTTTTATTAAGGTATTAAATAAGCTACTGCAATTAAACTTTGGACGATCAAGGAATGATTTGTAGTAGTATTGTCTGGCCCATATGCTTTTTTTTTGTATGCCTTGCATTTTATTGCCTATCTCTTAGTCTCTTAGTCAAGACATAGAACTGGCCTTATATCCTCCTGTGAGGGCTAGCAAAGTTGCTTCTCTAACTGGTAAGGAATAAAAACCAGATAACTTGTATGTAGAAGAATGTGGAAGAATTGCACATTAGTGCTTAATGCTACTAAGTGTCTCCCAATGCTGTGTTTGTCTTTGAACAGAGATATTGTTTGGGAAATTTCATATCATCTTCTTTCTGTCTTTCTGCAGCAATTCTTCCTCCCCAAATCATCAAGGAGATGGGATCTCTCAAGGGTCTGGAGATGTGAGTGTCAGTTCTCTGGCATTGCTCGTGGCTGTCTTTGCATAAAGGCTTCCGTTTGCTTCAGTACATTGGATTTTCACCTTCCTTGATATTAATGAGTATTGAGAAAAAGTGCTTAACTGAGTGAGACTTTTCTTTTTTCTTTCTTTAATATCCAAATTATCATGTCCCATCTTGTTTCTTACAGCAACTTCATCCTTCAGCCACAATCCAGGAAACTCAGCAATGGTTGCTCAAACATAGGTTTTCCACCTATACAAGGCTTTTTTCAAATTTCTCAGGTATATATAGTTTATTTTTATGCTTACAGTTTTTCTTTTTTTCTTTTCTTTGTATTAATATGCAAGTGTGGTGTGGGAAACTCTTCTGTAAAAATAATATTATAGAATCACTATTTAGGGTAACTTCCTAATTTGTTTGTTAAGAGTTCATTTTACAATGGAAGGTATCTTATTCTAGTTGCTGGTTTGCAAATTGACCCTGATACCCAGAAGTGAAGCTAGGTTCTTTTTTCCTGGTCCTGATTTTACCCTTGATGAGTACTTGATAAAAAGTCAGGAATTTGGTGAGTTGGAGTTGCACACCCTCTACTTTGGTCGGCTGCTTCCCGATGGCAGACCTATGTGGTCGTCTGGAAGGGAGTGCAAGAAGTTGCTCATGAGGTAGTTGCGGAGTATTTAGTATCTTCCCCCGCATTAGATCCTTTTCTTGGGAGGTAAGCTTGGTTATAACATAGGAAACTTTCATCCCTTCCAAGCTCTGAAGCTCTGGACAGTCTTCAAAGTCTCAGGTATGGCAAAGTCTTTTCGTAGAGGAGTCTGCTTTAAGGAAGGAGCAAGCTTCAGAAGACCAGGGAAGCCACATCTAGCTGTTGCCTTCCTTGTTCATTTCAAAGGAAGGTCTCCTGGCTCCTTGCTGAGCGGGTGGGAGCCAGGTTTCCCCTACAGGGGCCTAGGCACGAGCGGCGACAGGCGCCGCTCCTGGGGCTGCTGCCATCGCTCCCGTCGCGTTCCCTGCAGGATGGGGATGGCACCGCCCTGGCCAGGCCCGCGGCCGCGGCGGATCCTGTGGGGCTGCAGTCCCCACCGTGCAGGGGGCTCAGAGGCAGCGTCTGGAAACCCCTGGGACTTAAAGCTCCGTCCCTTCCATAGCTGCTTATGTCTGTTGGCAGCTGCCCGAGTGTTTTCTGCCTGTTCCACAACACTTGCACTTGCTGGCAGAAGGCAGCTCTCCTGGTAAACTTCGGTATGAGATTTCTGTTGAGACCACTTTGGAAATCTTTTAACCAGTTCTTATTGACTCTCTGTGATGAAACATATCTAATCTTGCTAATAAATCCATTTCTTCTGAAGCAGGAGGTGGGGCTTTTATCAGGTTCCCTCAGCTTTTTTTTTAATATAGTACTTAAAGGATTGTGACAGATTTTTCTAGTTGGCTTTTGTGTGTGGAATATTCCATAGCAAGGTGGCTTTTTATTTTGTTTTGTTTTGTTTTTTGTCTTTTCACTTGTCTATTACAGTAACTTTTTCTCAAGTTAATATCCTGGCAAGCAGAGTTGTTTTCACCGATCATCTTTGAGTCATTTAAGCCATCCTTGAGATACAGAGCAGTCAGCTGAATCTACTAAAATAGCATGTTTTGCAGGATTGTTTTTGTTTTTGTTTTGTTTCCAAAATATGACCACCATCAACTGAAACTCATTGCCTTTGGACAATCAGGCATTTTTCTTAGTGCTAGCTACTGCCTTGTCTAAATTGTCCTGGCGTGTTCACACTTGCAGGATTTGCTACTCTCAGTTTCAGTGATTGTCCCTTTTCTTTTACAAAGTTTAGGTGCTCTACACTAAACTTTAAACCCTGGCGTGTCTCTCCAGGTGCTGATTTACTGAAGCTGACGAGAGAAGACCTGGTGCAGATCTGTGGTCCGGCCGATGGCATTCGGCTCTACAACGCGCTCAAGTCCAGGTGAGACCCGCGGAGGCCGGGCGGGCAGGAGGGGCTCCCCAGGGAGCCGAGCGTGGGGAGACGCGGGCGCCGCGAGCTCCGAGGCGGCCCCGGCGCCCCCGCCGCCTTCCCGCG